GCCGCGGAGACAGGCTCGGCTTTCCCCCCCGCCGGGACCAGCTGTTGCCACAACCGGCGTAATGGCGGTTCGCACGGCTTCAGCCGCGAACACGGCTCCTGCTCCCGCTGCTCTTCAGCAGGTAGACTCACCCCCCTCCCCTCCTCTACCTAAACGAAACTGATTAAGATGCAGTGAGAGACGCACCTAAGACCCTCACCAGATAAGGGTTATAAGAGTGAAACAACTGCCCTAGGTCTCATTTGCATCTGAGATGGAACCAGATGACCATTCATTTACATGAGAGATGGAGAACAGAAAGCCTGAAGCAGAGACTGCAGTGAATTCTGGGACCAGAGAAGCAGGGGAGCACTGCATGATGGGGCAAGAGACCGAGTCAGAGGGGGTATGGGCAACATTTGAACAATGGTTAAGGGTTCATCACAGCATCCAGCCTGCTGGAGCCCTAATCCCAGGTGTTGTCATATCTTTCCCGAGACGACTGGTGGGAGTCCTCTCCACAAAAGGTTATGAGCACCCCAATAATTGCTTTAAGTCTGTTAAAAGACTATAGTAAGATCTGGAAAAGTCATGCTAAGCTGAGGCTTGTGCACAACAAGTAAAAATCCAAAATCCTGATGCTGCAAGCTATCTATTGTTCCTGAAGAAACCATGAGATATCCCATCAGTATATCTGCCACCCATAGGAATTTCAAGCTGGCTCCCAAGTATTTGGGTTACTCCCTAATCTTAAGTGTTTCCTGATTATCAATCAGTTTCCTGAGATGGTCCAAACCAGATAACCCCTTGTCAATAGAAAAGACGATGATTTACACTACTGAGGGTGCTTCGAAGCAGCTGAACTGAGGGTATAAAAATCTGTAAGTGTGTGTGCTGCTAGAGGGAGAAGAGGAAGAGGAAAAGGAAGGAAAAGAAGTATAAGCAGGAGGAAAGAAGGAGAAGAAGAAAACCCCTGTGCTGACACCATCCCCTGTCGTTCTTGGGACGCTGGAAGAACAGATCATCTCTCCCTTCAAGGACTGTGCTACAGACTGTGCCTGTCAGCTTTGCAGCCTGAGTACCGTGGACTAGGTGAGATCCCAGCGTTCTCTGTCTTCTTTCTAGGCATAAACTTCTGAACCTGAAGTGTATCAGTTAAGCTTGAGCTAAGTTTCCCCAAATACTTAGTGAAACCAGGGTAGTATTGTCATTGTTTGTGTTTGTTTTTCTTTTGCATGTCTATTACTACTAGTACTATTATATATTTCATATGCTTAGCAATAAATAACTTTTATAGTCAAACTCAACACAACACACTGTTCACTTCATGCACTTTTGCATGCACACATATAAGAGGGAACTGGAACTTACACGCCTCAACTACTGGGTAGTAACTGTCCCCGTACCTAAGGTTACCTTACAGCATGCGCATCTACACATGCAATTAATTCAAAACAATAAACTCTGGTATATAATGTGCCAGAGCGTATTGTTCCTGTGTACTGCATTTGAACAAACACCCAGGACCACCGCATGTTGAGGTAGGTCAGAGCAGCCCTACCAGGTCAGCCTGCCATCCCAGCACTGCTCCAACATGGCTCAGTGTGCTGTGGAGGGGCTGGCTGGGGTACAAGGGTACTTCAGTGCAGGGCTAGCTAGCAGGCAGGCTTCATCTGGAAGCACCCTTGTGTCCCTGCCAGCATCTATACATGCATGGTGGTACACTAAATAATGCTCCCACAGGATACAGAACATTTATTAGTTTACCATGGCATAATAGAGCCACCTGTGTAGATGCTGAGACTTTACTGTGGATCTAATTAGTCAGCTTTGTGGTAAACCTCTCATGTAGACATCAGGCACAGCTGGTGAACTCAGACTGGTGGGTGGGTGGAGTGGCACGTGGGAGCCAGGGGGGCAGGGGTTTGCAGCCGGCTGGGAGCCGGGGGGTTTGCAGCCTCCACACTCCCGGCTGGCTGCAAAGCAGTCCCTTCACCCTGCCCTGCTCCCAGCTGGCTGCAAACCACCCCCGTCCCCGGCCATCTGCTCCTGAGTGACTCTCCATCTGCCCCACCAGTCCGAGTTCACCAGCCACACCTGGTAGACATGCCCAGTGAGAGCTAAAGCAGGGAGTTTACCCCTTACTGAAATAGGGCTAAAGTTATCATCTTAGATTTCACTTACTACAGGGTAACTGTGAACACAGTTACTGCTGTTCATGTAAATCAACTCTAGTCCCCCAGATTTCCAAAGTGAAATCCTGTCTAAAATATATTTTTTCTCTTCCCGGTAGCATAATGCCAGGTCCTGCAGGCCCCCATAACATCTTGCTCCCATTAGAGGGTTCTGCCTTACATCTGCTCATTTACCTCACTCTGGCTTCTGAGGCAGAGATTGTATTTAGCTTTGTTCATTAGAGGTCCTGAACGTGTATTTGGGCATACTGGAAGTAACCACTTAACTTAGAACACTGCAGAAAACACTTCAACAAATAACTGTTCAAACTCCAAAGCAAATATTGAGTCCACATTGTCTGAACTGCTTCAAGCTAGACTCACAAGGCTGACTTGGGTGTTGCAATGTTCAGCACCTTCTTAGGTATTCACTTTTAGGTGCTCTGTAACCTAATGGAATTCATAACCCAAATGTAATTGTACGGGGGAATATAAAGCCTCCAAAATACAGCATTCAGAGACACCTATACCTAAGCAAGTTATAGGATAGGTTGAGGAGAGCAATACAACTTATGTTCTGCCCCCCTGAGATATAACTTAATTCCTAGCTTTAAGATTCAGACTTCTAGAGTTAGGTACTGTAGTGGGTTGGAAATTGTTCAGCTTAAATAGTCTTTAAAGCTTAGCATAGTTCTTTATTTTCCTGGGTATGCTTGCCTCATAGGTCTATTTGTCACCTTCAATCCACTTACCTCACAGGAAACTCCATTGAACATAAACCAGTAGTCAAGCTGCTTCCTCAGCACCACAGTCTTTCCTCTCTTTCTTTGGAGTGAGTTCCCTAGTTTGATGCTGTTGCTTCCAGTTTTGCAGTCTCCAGTTGTTGTTTTAAAAGAAACTATCCCCTTCCCAGTTTTGTAAAGCATGACTTAGGTCTCTGTAGCAGGCTGCATAGACAGGCTGTAGCAGGCTGCATGTGCCAGAGGCTACAGCCCAGCTGCAGGCAGTCAAACATTATTGCAGGCTGCATAGGAAGGCTAGGCAGCTGAGAAGAATAATTAGCTGACACAGGAAACTAAAAGGGCTCCCATGGAAGGGAGGTGAGGTGCCCAATAAATAGGGTTACCATGAATCCCAAATTGGTCAGGACCTTCCTGGATTTCAGAGGCTGCTCTCAACTGTGTGGTGAAAATTAAAATGAGCATCCTGGGCATGGGATGAGGAGGTAGAAGGACAGGAGCTGTGACATGGGAAGCCCTAGCAGACAGCAAAATGCCCAGTAACACTAATTGCTACTTCACTGGTTATTGTTAACACCTGTGAAGTAAAGAACAATAAGTCATTAATGGCCCTTGATAGCCTGCAGGAGTGGGGGAGGGGTGCAATGTCCTGGATTTCACAGAGTCCCATATGGTCATCCTATCAATAAGCCCATGGACAGGGTGTGGGAATGGTGAGTTCAAGTCCTTTCTCTACCTGAGAGGATCTGAACCCCCATCTTACACTTTTCAAGCAAAACCCTTAACCAATGGGCTATTGAGTATTCTGGAGTTAGTTGTGGTTTGAGCATATTTAGTGGACTTGGCTGTGTGAGTGGTAACGCCTATTTTGTGAATCTAAACAAAGTCTAAGCATGAGGTAGGTATCTAGCTATCTGGATTTAGGGTGCTTCTACACATGATGCCATTAACATGTACAGGTGATGAAAATGTCACTTTGTGTGACTTGATGGTATCACAATGAACATGTGCAAGACTTTGTGGGGGGTTAAATGACTTTAATTGATGCAGCTGTCAGCTCACACTCCAGCCATGGGAGAGGTGGGCAGGGTCCGCAGAAAAAAAGGATTGAGTCCCTCACTACTGCCTTCAGCAGGTGCCTGATCCTTGTTTGCTTGTTTTTTCATTTGGTGGAACCTACCCACCTCTCCTGCAGCTGGGGAGCAAGCTGCCAGTAGGCCAAGTAGCCCCTGAGCTGCAGGGGACCCAGTCACTGGTGACGCATAGCAGGCGCACATGGGTGCACATGCACCCCCTGAGCATGGCGGTGCACCCCCTATGAAAAGGCACCGCTGACACTGTTGGTGGTGCCTGAAGGCAATGTTCCTTCTAAGGAGTAACAGTCCATGAGTGCACCGCTTCGGTCCATGAGCACACCTCCTTGGTCCGGCATGGGACACTTACCAAAGGGGGCTGAGGGCTGGGGCTTGAGGGCTGTGTTACCAAATTTGCCCATTACTTTGGGGTGTGCTCATTTATTAGGGATAGTTTCTAGGGTCTTGGTGATTCTGTCAATGTGCTGCTTGTGTTACTATACGGAGCTGTATTTCTCCCTTCTGCAAGCCCTCACCCCCAGTGGAGCTATCTTGCAGGATTCAATCTCAATGGGACTGGGTTCCTCCAGTCACCGAATCAGTCATACACACAAACACACACAAATTAACGTGACACGCCTGACCTGGCCGGGCTGATCAGCATGGACAGGCTGACACCCTCATATGCCAAGAATCAGTTCATAAGAGCAACAATAAAATGCAGTCAGACACAAGCACACAGCTGAACAGAATCCCTCTGAATCCGGCTGGGTGTCCAGCTGACACCCTCATGGGCCAGCATTCAGTTCATAAGGGCACGTCTGAGTCAAACTGGGTCAATCAGCCTGTACAAGCTGATCCCCTTATGTGTTTCAAACTCAGCACGTCCCAATCTTTGGCCTCTTGATGAGCAGACCCCACAATAATTTGGGCTTCACAGGGATCTTTAGCATAGGTAAAAGAAGCGTTGCTGCAGAGCACGGGAGGAAAGAGAAGCAGAGAAGGAAAAATATACCCAATTACTACCAGTTTGACTATAAAAGTTATTTATTGCTAAGCATATGAAATATATAATAGTACTAGTAGTAATAGACATGCAAAAGAAAAACAAACACCAACAATGACAATACTACCCTGGTTTCACTAAGTATTTGGGGAAACTTAGCTCAAGCTTAACTGATACAGTTCAGGTTCAGAAGTTTATGCCTAGAAAGAAGACAGAGAACGCTGGGATCTCACCTAGTCCACGGTACTCAGGCTGCAAAGCTGACAGGCACAGTCCGTAGCACAATCCTTGAAGAGAAAGATGATCTGTTCTTCCAGC